TACTTGAAAAATGACACGAGCTTTTTCGAGTAAATAAACTTCAATATCAGCACCAGCAATTTTTCCTGAACTTCCAAAATGAATACGAATAAATTTACCCTAAGAAAATTAAATAACAACAGACAAGTATCTAGTCATATAAAACAAAATTACCATGATTTCAAAGGATATTCAAACATGCAATTATTTTTTATTCAAACCAAAATGCAATACATGCCACCATACATAAATATGACTCTCGATTTATAAACTTACGAATCGAGAAGAATTATTATTTCGACTCGTTTTAGCATTACCAAATGCTTCGAGTACAGGGTTGGATTGAACAATTTGATCTTCGAGAGTCATAGTTTTCTATGATGAGGAAAAAACAAGGTGTGCATGCATTAAGGTAAGGTTGTGAACAGGTATAGGTAAGGTATGTGATTGAGGATAAATTAGGGAAAGTGGGTAGGTGGTGGGGTGTAAATCAAATCAAAACGGGGTTTTTGTTATGCTGTGCTGCGGTATTTTTAATAATCCGCAACTTACGAATCGAGATGAATTATTATTTCTAGTTGTTTTTGCATTACCATATGCCTCAAGTACAGGATCTAATTATTGGGAAAAGATAGTTTTTTATTGATGTGAATTTATTTTTTTGTCAATGTCAGCCTGTTCGAATAGGCTCACACTTACTAGCTGAAACAATTTGATCTTCAAGGGTCATTGTTTTCTTTAAAAAATCCCCACAAATATAAGAAAGAAAATGATATGTCAATGGAGAATGATGGATTTGCTTCTGAATACATTACCTTTGCATCTTCTTTCTTAGCACCGGCAGCAGCAACCAATGCAAAATATTGAATGACCTTTTTAGTATTTTCTGTTTTGCCTGCACCTGATTCACCTGTAATTAACATTGATTGATTTTCACGATCTAAACACAATAATACAAGTTTCATTATTTCTTTTTATTTTCTAGAAAATATCAGTTGATCTTTTAGATAATTAGTTTTTTCTTTCTTATCAATTTTTACATCTGAACAACAAGTGAGAACGTTTGATCATTTATCAATGTGTCTTATTTCTAATGTATATAGAAAATACAGAAGTATTAGAAGCAGTTGCATGTTTGATCATTTAATGAATATCATCTACTTCCGTTACATGTCTGTTCTTTTTTGACGTTATTATTAATTGATAGTGGATAACGTTTGCTGTCTACTCCTACACATTGTATATAAAGAAAGTAGTAAAGATATGTCTAATGTCGATATGCAGTCGTAATCAAAGAAAATGTCAATAAATTTTTTTTTTGTTATTTCATATGGTCAAGTGTATTAATGATGAACAT